CCTATGGTGCTTCCCCCCCAGGCGTGTGAAGTATGTGTCTATGTAGAGCCTGTGTTGGGAGAGCTTGTGTGGTGAGGCCCCTGTCTTAGCACAAGGCTTTACCTGATGCCAGGCTCTGTATGGAGCTCCACGAGTACCCTCTACTTGAGACTTGGTGGGTTTCCAGCTCTCTTGGTGGGCTTTCCAGCCTCCAGCTTTTCCAGCTTTCTCTGCTTCTCAAGTAGAGGCTGTTTCTGAAAAAACGTTTCATGATCAATGATGATGAGGACAAAAAGCTGGAGCAGCTGGTGTTTGCAGGTGAAGAAGGACTCTCAAGTGACTTTCTGCCCTTCTGCATGTTGGCAGGGCCTCTGCTGGAAGCCAAGCGTGCAGGAGTGCAGCAGAGGCTGACGTTCACCCTTGCAGATGTCCCAGCAGGGCTGTGGCATCATTTCAGTTCTGCTTCTCACTTGGTGCTGAAGTGATCTGTGGAGCTGGAGTGCTCTACACGAGTGACCTGCGTGCCAAGAAGGTGTGACTGAAACTGAGAGTCTGTGGGGGGAGCAGCCTACACATTCTGGCTCAGCAGTGGCTCTGCTGCTTTGAAACTTGCTTGTCTTGTCTGTGGCTCTGGTATGAAACCCTGGGCTGCTGTTGCTGCTCTCACAAAGCCTTTCTGGCCCACTGGTTTCTTATCCAGGGGGTATCTGAGGCTGAGCCCCTGTCTTTTAAAAGCAGAAGGCCCTTGCTGCTATTTGAAAGGCAGCATTTGCATCAGGGGAAGGGCAGAGGTGCCTGAGCAGCAGAAGAGATCACTCCCCCTCATTCCTCTTCTCTCAGCAGCTGCTTTCCATGTGGGTGTTTGCTGGGAGGGGAGGAAGAGGAGTTTTGTGATTCCTCCCTTAGGCTGCTGCAATGGGGCATGAGGGTCTGTGGCTGCTCAGGCCATGGAGAGGACTTTGTGGGCTCAAGGACTCATTGAGAACCTGCTTGTGAATAGGGATGTGCTCATCTGAGCCATTCCTGCAGCATGGAGGACTTGGGGGTTGGACTAGATGATCTTTCGAGGTCCCTTCCAACCCCTGACATTCTGTGATGCCTCATGGGCAGAGCAGCAGGGCTGTGGGCAAAGCAAGAAAGCCCTGGGAAATACCAGGTTATGACTCTTGAAAATGCAACTTGTGGATTCAGGCCCTTCCATGAGCACAAGTGTGACTGTCATGAGAGAACCAGGGAGCATCAAATTATTAACAACAAAATGAGCTGAAACAGTGAGGATTGATGCTTTTGCAGATCACTTTATTTAATCATTCTTATTCCATGCAATTAGATCAGAGGGGTTTGTTTGCTGGAATAGGATTGGGATCTTCATGGCCAGTTGTAGCAGGAGGAGCTGGTATTATTAACAAGATTGTCATGGTAATTCTGAAACAAGATTTGATGTTCAAACATTGTGAGAAGCTGATCTTGCTGGTTGAATCTCGATGACTTTGCCAGCACAGAAACCACTTCCACTGCTGTCACTTGAGATGTCTCTCCAGCTTCCATGTTTAGTGGCCATAGGGACTTGGGGATGGGACTCTAAATAGGTCTTGCAGCCTGAAATGAAAGGAGGAAGGAGCTTTGTTTTGGGCAGGGATTATATTTATACTGGTGTCTCTTCCCGACCCTCCTTCCATGGTCCCATGGCATTACCAACCCACCAGCTTTGTACATTGATGTAAGAACACCAACCCTGTATTGCTCAAGCTGCTCACCAGTGTTTTACAGGCCAAGACCTTTCTTCAGAGTGGAGATCAGGGGATATTTGCCTTGCTTGCAGAAAGTGCCAGTGAAGTCATCCAGATCAATGGTCCAAACCATAGCACCTCCAAAGTTGTTCTTCTTCAGCCAGTCAACCTGTTACAGAGCCAAGGAAGAAATCCTAATTAGTCCTGGGACCTGCTACTGCAGAAGACCTTCTGCCTGGTTATCAGCACAGGCACACATCCCACTTTACCTTGATGCTGAAGCTCTTGGTGTTGTCATAGCCAACCCATTCGCTGCCCTTGTAGGCATAAGGCACGTCCTCAGGACCATCCCAAGCCTCAGTGGCTCCAGAGGCCAGGAATGAGCAGATCTAGGGAAGACAGAAAGAGAGAAGTTAGCAAGTGTCCTACAAAAGAGGGCAGTTGAAATATTATGTGGGTTAAAAAACCCTTGCAGAGATGTTTGAGGAGTCTTTGTGTTGCTCTTGGAGATGTAGGTGTGTAGGAGCACACATACCTCATAGTAAGCCAAAAGCCCAGCTTCCTGAGTGTAAGTTCCAGCTGGCCCAGGTCCTGATGTGGGTGCCCCAACAGCAGTGTTAGATGGGTTTTGGAGGTTGAAGGTACGTCCATAGGTTGGGAATCCAACAAGGAGCTTCTGAGCTGGGGCACCGTTGTTCTTCCAATAGTTCATAGCATATTCCTGCCAAAAGAAAACCCACCAGAACTCAAGTCTGTGCCAGGATCTATAGGCAGGCAGATGACTTCTGTGGCAGAGGATCCCAAAATTTACTTACAACACTGAAGGCACTGTTAGCAGTATTGTGCAGGGGGCTGTTCTCCCCAGTGCGACCGTCTGAGGAGCTGTAGAAGTCGTAAGTCATCACGTGGATGTAGTCCAGGTACCTGTGGAGAACATTGCCTGAGTCTATCTCCTAGACTGCTCAGTCATCCAGACCTGGTTGTTCCTTCTGTGCTGGCCATTAACTCCACCAGATCCCTGACCATGTCCTCAGTATTCTGCAAATCTGGCTTCTTCAAGGTCTTTTCTGAGCTGGCCTCCAGACAAGGGAGGCAGAAGTGAAGGCAGAGTGGGAAGAGTGCTGGTATTCTGGGAACCAAGAGATGTTCCCCCCTGACTTTGAGCAGCCTTTTGTCACCCTTTGCTTTCTGAGGTGTCCCCATCCCCACCAAACAAGCACCACTCTCAACGTTCTTGCCTTACACAGAAGAGCAGAGACCCTAAATGCTGTGAGGTTGGTTTCTGCAGATAAGGGCAGAGTTTCCCTTGAGACCACGAGTCACAGAGATGACCCCTGAGTGCTTGCTACTCACTTTCCAAGCTCAGCAATCTCGTAGCCAGCCTGAATGGTGGAAAGTCCTGCAGCAACAGCAGCAGTGACCATGAGACGGGGCTTGTTGACCTGTCTGGCTTCCTGCTCAAAAGCTGCCACCATTTCCTGAGGGATGACAAGGAACAGGTCTTACTGTGGACTCTTATTTGAGGCTTTGCATCTCCCCAGGGCTCTGGCTGCAAAACCTCTTATTTCACCCTACCTTAACGAGGACAGTGAAGAGACCCTTGTCCTGGGCTGGGCTGCCCCTGGACCCAGGGTATTCCCAGTCAAAGTCGAGCCCATCAAACTGATACTGGCGCAGGAACTTGATGACAGACTTGATGAAGGTCTGGCGGTTCTGGGGAGTGGAAACCATAGTGGAGAACCTAGGGAAGCAGAGCAGGACAGAGTTTGGTTTGGTTGGTCCCTTTCTCCTCTCCTCTCCTCTCTCCCAACCTTTTCAGGGAAGGAGATGGTTTGAACTTACTTGGCTGTCCCGAAGTTCCATCCTCCAATTGCCAGAAGGGTCTTCAGATTTCTGTTCCTGAAAAGAGAGAGATAGGAGCATGTTATACAACAAGTAAGTGTCTGGTGGAGCTGCCTTTGTAGGCAGTGATTCTTTGGTGAGAAAGCTTAAGATCAAGTCCAGAGCTCAGTGAGTGTCACCATAGTCAAAGGACCAGTGCTGGCAGCCTGCCCTGCCCTGCCC